CCTGCTCTTTCTATTTTACATCTACTCCTCCTTTTCTTAGGGAATAAGCCTTGTGCATACATCGAGTGCCACAGAGTTAATCTGTTCTAGGCATAAGTTGGAGTCTGTGTTGCTCAGTCTATGTCCCAGCTTATATCGTTTAGGACTTGGTTTCCCTTGGTCCCACATTATCTTTTTGTTATTGAAGATGAATTTGGTGAATGCTCCCTCGTGACTGATCTCAAAAAAACCATACCCCCGGCCGGGATTGAACCCGCGGTCATAGAGTCTCAAAACTCCAGCCCGACTCTATGACCGGGGGTTTTCCAATCCCGGCCGGGGGGTATGGTTTATTTGCAATCGTGTTCATTACGATTTCTTAAGTCATTGTTGACTGATCTCATTTTGTGGGTCTGGGGCTCCACGCTACTTGTCTGAACCTCGATTATTTGTGATCTGAGTATATTGTTTTTGATATTGTGACTTTTTCGTATCAGATCTCATTGTTAGTGAAGATGAGGTCTAGTGTATTCTCCAGTCTAGTAGGCTCTATTATTTGCTGTTTTAAGTTGAATTTTGTGCAGAGATTTAAACATGACTTAAGAAAATCGTAATGACACGATTGCAAATAACCATACCCCCGGCCGGGATTGAACCCGCGGTCATAGAGTCTCAAACTCCAGCCGTCGCGCTAACCACTAGACCAGCTAGCCACAATAAGATTCATCCAACTAGGTATATTTCTACACCATAGGAAAGTTAGCACAGGCACCTCTGTGACCACAAATGCAAGTTTTTACAGACGAATCTCCAGCTAGCGTGGCCGTGACGAACTCTAGCTCAAGTCCCTTCACTGCCGTCAACATGACTTAAGAAATCGTAAGCCCACGATTGCAATAAACCATAACCCCCGGCCGGGATTGAACCCGCGGTCATAGAGTCTCAAAACTCCAGCCCGTCGCGCAAAACCACTAGACCAGCTAGCCACAATAAGATTCATCCAACTAGGTATATTTCTACACCATAGGAAAGTTAGCACAGGCACCTCTGTGACCACAAATGCAAGTTTTTACAGACGAATCTCCAGCTAGCGTGGCCGTGACGAACTCTAGCTCAAGTCCCTTCCACTGCCGTCACTGGAGTTTTGAGCCCTCATACCGCGGGGTTCAATCCCGGCCCGGGGGGTATGGTTATTTGCAATCGTGTCATTACGATTTCTTAAGTCATGTTGACGGCATTTGAAGGGACTTGAGCTAAGTTCGTCACGGCCACGCTAGCTGGAATTCGTCTGTAAAAACTTGCATTTGTGGTCACAGAGGTGCCTGTGCTAACTTTCCTATGTGTAGAAAATATCCCTAGTTGGATGAATCTTATTGTGGCTACTGGTCTAGTGGGTTAGCGCGACGGGCTGGAGTTTTGAGACTCTATGACCGGGGGTTTCCCAATCCCGGCCGGGGGTATGGTCAGAGATTTAAAGCTCGTATGTGTGTGATTTTTCATCAGAGCTGCCTCCTGGTGTTATTACTGCAAAAATATTATTTACTATATTCCTCCTTTTAAGGTGCCCCCCGGTTGAAAAAACCCTGGAGCAAGAATATTGGGGGCAGGAGTTGGAAGATTTTCCAGACAGTGGTCAATTTTTAACAGCTGTTCCTGGAATTGCTGGGACGTTGCATCCGGAGGCCTGTAGACTACCACAATGACTAGATTTGGTTCTTGATCTTTACTTCCACTACATCATTTGAGGCATTAAGCAGTTCTGTGGGGAAAAAGGACTTTTGCAAATATACAGGCCAACCCCCCCCCCCTTTTTCCTGTTCACTCTGTCACATCTGTATAGTTGTAACCTGGGATCCATATTTCTTTTCCAAGTGATCCTTTATGTGGGTCTCAGTGAACCGCGAGCATTGCCATTTGCCTCTGCAAGCAGTCCAGGATGAAAGGTTTTTGTTGTTTGTTGCTGGCTTTTAGACCCTGTAATCTGCAAAGAAGAATGTTATCGGACTGGTGGTATTGTTGGGGACTGGGGGGGGATTTTTTTTTTTTCCGGCATTAGTATTGTATCTGTTGGTTTGGAGTGGAGGCCATCGACTGTTTCCTCCAGAAATGAACTGGATTTGGCGCATGATTTCTGCCATTTCTGCCAGTTTTTTTTTTCCTTCTGGCACTAAAAAACTTCTCCCCCCTTGATGGCTGTGGCTACCCAGGTTTTCCCATGGCCTGGATGTTTCGTATCTTTTTGTCCCTTTAGATGGTGTGCCTGGCAATTTAAGTTATAGCACAGTCTTTCCTGTAATGAAGAGAGACACATTTCAGTGTGAAAAAGCTTACAGGAAAGGAGTTTGCATTTTCCTGTTGTCATAGGGGCACCGCATTTTCTAGGGTGGTCAAAGTTGCACGTCCCATCTGTTTTTCCAGATTTCCCATGTCTGCAGATACCA